TGCCCGGCTAATTTTTTTCTATATTTTTAGTCGTCCGATTAATTTCTTTCTATTTTTAGTAGAGACGGGGTCTCGCTCTTGCTCAGGCTGGTTTCGAACTCCTGAGCTCAAACAATCCTCCCGTCTCGGCCTCCCAGAGTGCTAGGATTACAGGCGTGAGCCACCGCGCCCGGCCCAACTTAACAGCATTTTCAATTTACAATGGGTTTAATGGGATGTAACACCATTATAAGCTGAGGAGCACCTGTATTTATAAAATGTTTTCACTTACACATTCTCTTACCATTCTCTCACTGGGGATAGGTGGGCGTATTTTCCTTATTTTACAGTTGAGAAAACCAAGCCTCAGAGCAGTTCAAGAACTTGTCCAGAAACTTGAACCTAGAACTATCACTGAATCATAAAGAATTGTTTACATATTAAGCCTGTTTTATTCAGTGGAAATATTAAATAGACATGTTTTCTGAGAGTGATGGAATAACAGAAATGAGTCAGTGCATATTTTTATATTTTAACACTAATGGTATTTTTAGACTGTCGGCCCAACTCATGCTTCCTTTATAGCCTTGTATATTGTCTAAAACTATCTTTATATTATGTATCTCCATGTTTTGAAAGGGTAAAAAATATACTTGCTTTACAAAACTGGGTAAAAATAATAGCTTTTAGCCGAGGTTGCTTGGACTTTGTAAGACAGAGAATGTATTTCCCACACTCTGATCTAAAAAGTAAGTCTTACCCTTCTTTGATTCTTCCAGAAAGATAAAGCAGTACTTAAAGGTAGATGTAAGAAATAGAAGAAAACACAATAACCTCTCTTGCTCTTTTTTCCTTCTTTCCTACTCTTCTATATCAATATTCTGGAATGTAGTCACCAAATGCTTAGTATCACTTTTATTATCACTCCATAGCAGCAGTTTTCTGGTGAGCTTGATCACTTGCTGAGACTAGGCTGACCTCAAGGTTCTAACTCTCCGGATCAGCGAGGCCCAGCTCTTAGGTATCAGTTTCCTGTGCCTACCTCACTTGCTCAGCCGTGACATACAAATGAACGGCCCGGCCTTTCTGGCTCACTCCTCAGGTAAGAGCCTCCTTCCCTCTCGTACAGGGAGGCAACCTTGTTAAAATCACCAGTCCACACTAGAACTATACTTTAGGGATGTCACAACTGCAGCATTTATACCTTGTGAATTATATAGAATTAAAGGGTGATACTCCTATTTGGAGCCATGCTAGGGTCAGAACCCAAGTGTTCTTGACAAGTTCATTATTCTTCTCCCATACTGTGTGTCCTCCCTCAAATGCCTGTTAAACCAAGATGCTATAGAATTCCCCATTGCAAGATGGAAAAATTTAGTCCACAGAGAGGAATGCCTAACAGCTTAGAGGCAGGTTTCCTGAGCTCTAGTCTGCTAGACTAGTCATTACTGTTCATTTTGTCCTTTACCAAAATAAAGTACTAAAAGTATGCCATTACTGAAGGGCAAAAGACATATCTCAAGCACTATTTTTTATTACAAGTAAGTTACATGTAATCTATATGCATGTTAAGTACTACCAAATAGCATGCTTTGGAAGCTCCTACAAATAGCGATTGTCAGAAAGGTCTATCTGGTGACTAGTGCTCCATCAACAGTCTTCGGGTAAGAGATTTTCTCATCAAAAAAAGAATAAAGGTTTGTCAGTATTCTTCCTACTTACCTAAGAGGAAGGCATTCTGTAGTAGTTTTAATGTGATAAAGATACCCTACAGCTCAAACTAACTGCTCTTCAGGGACAAAGACTCACACTTCCTGGTTTTAAAACGTACTACAAAGCTCCAGTAATCAAGACAGTCTGGACTGGCATAAGGATAGATATATAGACAAATGGAATGGAATTGCAAGTCCAGAAAGAAAACCTTACATTTATCGTTGTCTTAGTCCATTTAGTGTTGCTATAGCAGAATAGCTGAGGCTGAGTAATGTATAAAGAAAAGAGGTTTATTTAGCTTACAGTTCTGCAGGCTGGGAAGCTCAAGGGAATGGCCCTGGCTTCTAGTGAGGGCTTTCGTGCTGTGTTGTAACACAGAGAAGGTAAAAGGGGAAGCAGATATGTGCCTAGAGGCAAAACCCCAGGGCTTCCTGGTTTTATAACAACCCACTCTCATGAGAGCTAATCTAGTCTCACCAGAGCAAGAACTCAATCTCTATCCCAAGAATGACACCGATGCTATTTATGAGGGATCTGCCCCACTTCCTACTAGGCCCCACCTCCCAACACCACCACATTGGGGACCAAATGTCAACATGCATTTTTGTGGGGATAAAGAAGTCATATTCAAACCATAGCAATGATGAATGTAACTGACCTTAATTTTTGACAATTCAATAATGGAGAAAATCGTCTTTTAGATAAGGTGCTAGGACAACTGGATATCCACATGTGAGAGAATTTAGACTCTTATATACAAAAATAAACTAAAAATGGGTCAAAGTCAAATACTTAAATGTAAGAGCAAAAACTATAAAACTGTTGGAAGAGAATATAGGCATCAATCTGTGTGACCTTGCATTAGGCAGAGGTTTCTTAGATATCAAATCAAAAGCACAAGTGACAAAAGAAAAAATAAATTGGACTGCATCAAAATTAAAATTCTGCTTCAAAGGGCACTATCAAGAAAGCAAAACACAATGGACAGGATGGAAGAAAATATTTGTAAATCATATACCTGATAATGGACTTGTATCCAGAATATATAAAGAACGCTTACAATTTGACAATAAAAAGACAAATCACTCAATTGAAAAATAAGCAAAGGATCTGAATAGACATTTCTCCAAAGAAAATATATAAATGGCTAATAAGCACATGAAAAGATGCTCAACATCGTTAGTCATTAGGGAAATGCAAACCAAAAACCATAATGAGATATCACTTCATAACCATCAAGATGGCTATAATCAAACAGATAATAGCAAGTGTTGGCAAGGATGTGAAAAAATATTGCTGGTAAGAATGCAAAATGGTGCAGCCCCTTTGGAAAAATGTTTAGTAGTTTCTCAAAAAGTAAAACATAGGGTTACCGTATGACCTAGCAATTCCATTCCTAGATATATACTGAGAAAAAAAAACATATGTACACAACAAACTTGCAGGCAAATGTTCACAGCAGCATTAGTCACAATAGTTAAAAAGTGGAAACAATACAAATGTCCATCAACTGATGAATGGATAAACATAATGTGATATAGCCATACAATGGAATATTATTTAGCAATAAAAAGAAATGAAGTTCTGATACATGCTAAAGGTGGATGAACCTTGAAAGCATCATGCTAAGTGAAAGAAGCTGGTCACAAATGGAAAACATAGGCTGGGTGAGGTGGCTCACGCCTATAATCCTAGCACTTTGGGAGGCTGAGCTAGGAGGATAGCTTGAGGCCAGGAGTTTGAGACCAGCCTGAGCACCATAGTGATACTCTATCTCTACAAAACAATAGAAAAATGAGCCAGGCGTGGTGGTGCATGTCTGTAGTCCCAACTACTTGAGAGGCAGGAGGATTGCTTGAACCCAGGAGTTTGAGGTTGCAGTAAGCTATGATGATGTCACACTGCACTCTAGCCCAGGCAACAGAGGAATATCTTGTCTCAAAAAAACAAAACAAAAAAAAGCACAAACATTATATGATTCCATTATTATGAATGTCCAGAATAGGCAAATCTATAAAGACAGAAAATAGAGCAGTAGCTGTCAGGAAGAAAGGTGAATTGGAAGGTACAGGGTTTCTTTTTGGGGTGATGAAAATGTTCCTGATTTAGATCATGATGATGGTTGCAAAGTTTTGTGAATACACTAAAAACTAATGAATCGTATGCTTTAAAATGGTAAATTTTATGGTGATTTATATTTGAAAAAAAAAAAAGACAAGAAAGCATAAGAGACCTTAAAGTTTACCTAATATAAAACAAAACAAACAAAAAAAATCAAACCTTTTTCTATGATTTGAATTCAATTTTTTAAAAAATTTCAGAATATTGTGGGGGTACAAACATTTTGGTTATATGAATTACTTTCGTACAGTTTGAATCAAAGTTATGTGTGTCCATCACCCAGACAGTGTGCATTGTACCTGTTAGGTGTGAATTTACCCATCTGCTCCTCCCCTTTTCCTGAATTTAGTTTTATAAATGTTATCTTTTTTCTTTCAACAATAATCATAATGATAAAAATAGCGGCTACTTATTAAACACTCACAAGACACTGTACCAACTATTTTATACTTGGTATTCTCTCCCAAATCATCTCAATGACCTTGTACATAGAGGTTATTATCCCATTTTACAGAAAGAAAACTGAGGCTTAAAGATTTGCCCAAGGTCATATAAGGTAACTAAATCTGACTCCAGAGGTTCTCTTATACCATTTTATCTTCCTTAAAAGAATGTTTTATTGGTCTCCAATACTAAGTGATTTTTCAATGTATTATGTTGTTCTTCCTAATTCCATCAGCAAATTAGACATAATTTCAGGGCTCAGTATTAAATAATGATCTTTCCTCCTTAGTTTGTTGATCACAGGAAAAGACAGAAAAAATTCCCACATGATAAGTTTTCATTTGTGTCAAATTACAGAGTTCCATAAGTACAAGATTATGATTTGAATATTGTAATATAACTTAAAATTTGGCACATTATTTAATTATTCAAAGTTTATTACATGTTTGAGTGCACACTGAAGAGATTATTTGGCAAGATAAATATTTCTGTACCTATTTTGACTATTTATCACGTATATATCTTGTATATTTATATATGTATGTACATGTTTTATGTACACACACATACTCCTAAATTAAATATATTTGTATAAAAAGCTTAAGATTGATGTGTTCAGATTAATTCATTTAAAAAACCTATTATATTAAATTGCATCTGCATTCAAAGCAGAAATGTAAAAAAGACTAAACAATTTACTAAATACACATGAATTTACAAAGTGATTGAAAATGAAATAAAAATTTCTATTGAAATGTTATATTCTTGTTTAATGGACATTTAAGTGGCAATATCAAACTATGGAAATAAACATCATGTTTAGGTTGTTGAGATAATAAAGATTCCAAGAGCATTACTGTACCCTCTAGATTAAGATTGAACATTATTGTAGTAGGAAAAGTTGGCAGATAATTTTCTTCTTTATTAATATGGGAATTCTGAGGAAGCAATCAGGGGGCTGTGTCTGTCTCCTGGGCTTGGGTCTTCTGCTGTTCCATCAGTGGAAGTCTGGTTTCTCAGGAAAGGTGCAGCCAGTCCGTCTAATTATGACACTTGCTGCATAGTGGCCAGCACGGATGCATTCGGTCAGAGGCTTTTCAGAGACCAGTTGAGACAGAAAACCTAGAACACGCAAAAAAGAACATGAATATTTTGTGACAGCATGAGAAATGTCATATTTGCTCACACTAAAATATGGTCTAAGCACCTACCTCTTTCTTCAGCCTTGAGAGTAAGTGATAAGTCTCAAGCATGAGGTCTTTCCCAAACTTCATGAGCTTCCCCTCGTATTTTTTCTAAAGAGCTCAGGTTGGGACATGCCAATTTGCCATCAAGTCAATCTCGTCTTTCTAAGCCTAGATATCATGCTTTCCTTTCACTTTGAGATGAAAAGTTTATAAGAAAGAAATACTCGCCAAATAATATTACTTTGGGTCTTCACAGCTGAGAATTTATTAGTTATCCTTCTTCCCTTCCCTCTAGATTCCTTCTGTGTTATTGTTATTCCTAGCTATTGGGACAAAATTCTATTATCTAGATGTCTCCCCAAATACAATTGTGGGAGATGAAAAGTTATAAAGGACTTTACATCTCCCTTTCATTCCCAGAAGTAACGGTGAAATAATTTCTGTGGTTAAGCACGATGGACCAGCTTGACATTAAAATAAATTATGCTAAGGTAAAACAAAAAAATAGTGTTGAGGACTTCTGCTTCTGATCAAGATGGAATAAAAGGGACCAGACTTATTTTTCTTTCAGCAACAACAAAAACAAGATAAAATATATGAAACAAAGTTTTTCAAATATTGTACATCAGCCACAAGAGATTCATGAAAGAGGGGAAACAAATGAGGTAAAACATAAAATTGCTCTAGCGTACTACCTAGAGAGAGTTACCAGGCCACAACACAAGGAAGGACAACCTAGGCAGATCCTTAACAGTACCACTGAGTTGAGAAGATGGGATTGGGAGTATAAATAGGCCCAAATTAACAAATCTCTAGGCATACTGAGAGAGAGAGAGAGAGAGAGAGAGAGAGAGAGAGAGAGAGAGAGAGAGAGAGAAGACACAAATTATCAATATTAGGAATGACAGGAGTGGGTGATATCACAATAGAATCTACATATATTAAAAGGTTAATTAGGAAACATCAATAACATAAGCCAATAGATTGGCAAGTTAGAGGAACAGGACAAATTCCTTGAAAGTCACAAACTATCAAAGCTTACTCAGGAAGAAACAGATAACTTGAAGAGCACGGTATATCTATCAAATATATTGATTTTGCAGCTAAAAAGTTTCCCATATAGGAAGTCCCAGGTCTAGATGGTATCACTGGTGAATTCTACAAAATATTTAAGGAAGAAATTAATACCAATGCTATACAAACATCTCAGAAAACTGAAAAGAAGGGAATACTTCCCAATTCGTTCTTTGAGGCTAGCATTACTCTGACATCAAAACCAGAAAAGAAAACTACAGACCAATATTCCTCATGAATATAGATACAAACATTCTAAAGAAAATTTTAGCAAATCAAATCCAACAATATATTTTACAAGATAATAAGTCATGATAAACTGGGGTTTATTCTAGAAATGCAAGGTTGGTCTAACATTTAAAAAATCAATGTAATTTACCAGATTAACTAAAAAAGTCATAAGATCATCTTAATAGATGCAGAAAAAGCATTTGACAAAATCCAACATCCATTCCTAATAAAAACTTTCCGCAAACTAGGAATAGAGGGGAAATTTCTCGATTTAATACAGGGCACTTAGGAAAAACTCATTGCTAATATCATTCTTAAGGTGAATGATGGAATGTTTTCCTCTTAGCATAAAGAACAAGGCAAGAGTGTTTGCGCTGAAACACCATACTGGAGACTCTAGCCAATGCAATAGGGCAAACAAAAGAAATAAAAGGCATCAAGATGGAAAAGGAAGTAAAACTGTCACTGTTTCACATGGCATGATTGTCAACATCTGTGGTTCTCAACAGGCAGCTCTGCCCTTTCATAGGACATTTGGCAACGTCTGGAGATATTTTGGTTGTCACAACCAGGGCAGAGGATGCTACTTGCATTTAGTGGGTAGAGGCCAGGGACGCTGCTAAACATTGTACAATGTCCATAACGTCAAGGTTGAGAAATCCCAGTCTATGTAGAAAATCCTACGGAATCTAGAAAAGAGTTACTAGAACTACTAAGTGAGTTTAGCAAAGTTCCACAATACAAAAATCAATTGAATATCTACACTAGTAATGTGTATATGTGTTGCAATTGTATATACTAGCAAATAACTAGTAGAAATATTAAAAATATTTAACCACAGCATTAAATATGTGAAATGCCTAGGAATAAATCTGATGAAAGTTATGTAAGACCTGCACACTGAAAATGACAAAACAATGCTGAGAGATATAAAAGAAACCTAAATCAATGGAGACATATGAAGTGTGCATAGGTCAGAAGATTCAATATTCTTATCAGCTCTGCAGAAATTTTTATATTGATTCAGTGGAATACCAATCAAAATTCTAGCAGGCATTTCTTCTAGAAACTGACAAGCTGCTTCTAAAATTTGTATGAGAATGCAAAGATTAGCTAAAATACAAACTTTGAAAAAGAACGAAGCCAGAGGATTTATATTACCTGATTTCAAAACTTATTATAGAATGACAATAATCAAGACACTATAGCATTAGCATATAAAAATAGACAAATAGATTAATGGAACTGAATAGAGTCCAGAAATAAACCTACCTCTATGTGGCCAATTGATTTTTGACCAAACTTCCCAAGCAATTCAATGGAGAAAGGATACTCTTTCTAACAAATTATATTATTAATAGAAAAAATGGATGCCATATATGAGGAAAAGAAACAAACACTTCAATCTTTACCTTATATCATCTACAAAAATTCACTTGAAATGAATCATAGACCTAAATGTAAGAGATAAAACTATAAAACTCTGAGAAGAAAACATAGGAGAAAATCTTAGTGATCTTGAGTTTGCTAAGATCACTAAGACATAAAAAGTACAAACTTTTGGCTGGGCACGGTGGCTCACGCCTGTAATCCTAGCACTCGGAGGATTGCTTGAGCTCGGGAGTTTGAGACCAGCCTCAGCGAGAGTGAGACCCCGTCTCTACTAAAAATAGAAAAATTAGCTGGGCATCGTGGCATGCATCCACAGTCCCAGTTACTTGGGAAACTGAGGCCGGAGGATCCCTTGAGCACAAGAGTTTGAGGTTGTAGTGAGGTACATTGATGCCACTGTACTGGGGTGACAGAGTGAGATTCTTATCTCCAAAAGAAAAAAAACAGTACAAACTTTTATAGAAGAAAAAATAATTTAGACTTTGTTAAAATTAAACATTTTTGTACTTCAATAACAAGAAAAAACTCAATAAAAAATGGGCAAAAGTATTCAATATTTCAGCAAGAAGAAGATGCAAAATAGCACATGAAAAGATGTTTAACATCACTACTCATTAAAGAAATGCAAATTGAAATCACAATTAGATACCACCACACACCCATCAGAGTGGCTAAAATTTGAAAGACTGACCATAACAAGTGTTGGCAAGGGTATGGATGAACTGGAACTCTCATACACTGATTGTGGGAATGTAAAATGATAAGACCACTTTGGAAAACCATTTGTCAGTGCCTTAAAAAGCTAAAACATACATTTACCATATGACCTGTTCTATTTCTAGGTATTTACCCAAGGTAATAAAAGCATATACCCACACAAAGACTTGTAAATAAATGTTCACAGCAGCTTTACTTGTAACAGCCCCAAATTGGAGACAATCCAAATGGGGATGAGGTGGCAGGAAGGTGGGATTACAAAAGGCCATGGGAGTGGCGATATGTCTATAGTGATGGTTTCATGAGTGCATGCCTGTGTCCAAATTTATAAAATTGTACACTTTAAATATGTATAGTTTATTGTATGTCAATTATACTGCAATAAAACTGTAAAAAAAGTAAAAAGAAAAAAAGTATAGTTGTAAGTAAGATAGGTCAAGAGTAGAAGAATCTGGGCTACTTTCTCCTTAGGGGAAACTTGAGCTGCTGCAGGGGTACTCAGATACTCAGAACAGATGATAATGAGAAACTGTTCTGTAGCCAGACTTCTGGGCCTTCCCCTAGGCCCTGGGCAGCCTGAGGGGGATGAAGGTTAATTGAGAAGCTGTGGTATAATAACCTGCAGAGAGCATTATAAGAGATTTATGTCCTTCCTCTTCTACCATTCTGACCACACAGGCTTTTCCCAGCCAGATTTGGGGAATGCTCTGTATTAGATGAAATAAATAAGTATTCCCAACCAAAGAATAAAATTAGTATGGTTACTAGGATGATATATTTTGAAGACATTTGCTTAGACTGTGAAATCACTCTCTCAAGAGGTTTAGTAAGAGTATTTTATCACTGAGCTTTCAGGTAACAGTCAGAGGTCAATATTAACTTTCTGCCAAACCATGAGACTAAAATGCTCAGTCTACACAGTGAATGGAGCAGATGCCAAATTCAGAGTCAGATCAGCTTACAATGGAAACGCGTCTACTAGACGCCTTATAAGCAACATCTGTTTTTCTCATTTCTCCTGGTATGATCTTCGTGAGAAAAAGAAAAGCTTATGTTTATGAAATATTTTTGTGAAGCAAAAGTACTAGTATCCTTTTTCTAAGAGAAGAGCTAGTTGATGAATGAAGTGAAGTACTCTGAAGAATCTTTTGCTTTGACAAGTAGAAAACCTGGATGCTGAAAAAAGCCAAGACATTTGCCCAAGGTGAATATCAGTTTTTCAACAATTGATTTTTAAAAACCAACTAAGCTGAAACACAGACATTACATAATCAATTATAAGCAGAACCTTCAAAAAGCTGATGTGGGTCTTAAAGGTTGTATAAAATTATTTAAAAAAACAAAGGGAGCTCATATTTAAAGAACTGTAGTGAATCCTTTTATAATGAATAAGCATTCCCAAGATACTATTTATTGTGTAAAATATACATAAAATTTACTCTTTTAACAATTTTCAAATGCACAATTTGGTGACAGTAAGCACATTCACAATGTTGTGCAATTATCATCTTGATCTATTTT